TCGGCCTTCAAGGGCCACTTTAGGACCTGACGCGTCTAAACTTCAGCCTTCGGAACCAAACGGAAACCCATCATTTTTTTAAGAGGAAATCTGCGCGCGTAATCATGTTTGTTTCACCTCCTGCCCTCTGCTGTTCTCTCTCGCAGCGGCGCACGCTTGCACGGCGAGGGTTATGGCTCCGAAGCCCACGCGAAGACGAAGCCTCACGCTGGCGCCTCTGAGCATATCCTTGACTCTGTGCGCTGCCTTCGTGCAATCGCCATCGTTTCGACTGCGGGGGGATTCCATCGCCCGCCGGCACCGGGCTAGTTGCTGCAGCAGCCGTGGGAGCGGCTGCTGGGAGCTGCGCTCGTCCTTGGGAGCAAACGGCGAGAGCAACGTCGGAGAGGGAAGCGAGGACGAAGATGCGAGCACGTACTCTTTCCCAGGTAGCCGTGGCACGCTTCGGTGTTGTTACAATTTTCTCGGTCTCCAAGTCTCAAATGTACTTCACACACGCCACCTCCTTGTGATGCACCCAACACCCAACACACGTACATGTCAGCAGGGTGTGGTTTGGGGACGGTTGCGGTAAACAGACTGATGCCAGGACCCCAAAAGGATGACGTTGTACAACACAACGCCAACTCACGCATGTTTTTCATTTCCCCACAACAACAGCAGTGTTCAACTCTGGAGGGTTGGATCGGCTGAGGCCGCCTCCGCGTCTAACTTTTACCGTTGGAATGGAGGCATCGGCGGCATATTTTCGACCAAGAACATCCAAGTGCAACCAAGTACAACCACCCTGGTCTCTTGGGATCAGCATAGTTTACGTTTGCCATGAGATCAAACGCACAGCTCACGCGCGTCTACAAATATCCTGCTGAAATGATTGCAAGGCTTACATTTTCTTTTTGGGAGGGGTGACCAGGGACCGTCGGCAAATGATCGTCCGCACCATGTGTATCCCTCCGACTGCGGGAGGAAAGGAGGAGACAAGACCAGCGAACAGGTTGCTTGGTCGCTGTTTGGACCCACACAAGAGGAGCACTTATTGCTGCAGCAGGAGGAGCTGTGCTTCGCACAGCGGTAGGGTGTAACGTACGGCAGGCTTAAAAAGGAAGATGATGGAGCTGCCGAGAGACCACGCGCACACGCCCAAAGTGCGGCAACGGGCAACGGGCTGCCCGCATTCGATGCTTTCCCCGTGCATCAGCCGCGCGCGAACCGCTCCCACTATTAGTGCGAATGTTGACAAGGGTATGCAAGACAATAGCAATTTTACGAGCGGCCGAGATGTCGACACAAACGGCTGCCATAAAGCAGCGGTACCGATATAGCAGTGGCCTTCCTTGCCTCTCTCAATGGTTGCGGTCGCCTACAGTACCAGCAAATACGAGCTTGTTTATTTGTTCGCTACGACGCCGTTCATGCAGAGAAACACGCACTTTAGGCCAATGTGCGCGAAGCCCGCTGGTCACAAGGTCTCCAACATGGCATTTCGTTCATTTTTTCAGGCAACGATATGTCAATACCGGAAAGTGCCTTTATATTCCTTCCTCGCTTCGAAGTTTCCCCGGGGGCGGCTGACACTTTTTTTGCGTACTGTAATTCCAGCCAAAACTAAAGGTATACGAGTAGATGTCGTAGTCCTCTCTTCGCCTCGACTTGAGAACCATTTCTCAGTAAGGTTCGTGAGGTTTTGCGCCTACGAGAGTCGGCCTATGATTACCGCTGCGTCTGCTGTGTCTCGTTGACATGCGTCTCAGGAAAAATAGTCTTGATATCTGCTCCGACTCTGCTGCGCCAACCTCGTACTGTATCGTCGTCTACATATTCGTCAACAGCCCAAATGATGTTTTTTTTTTGTGTTGATGTACAGATACACTGGGACAGAGCGCTCCGGTTGGCGTGTCCCCCGAGAAATGGGAGCGCGTGCTGCGGTCAGCACGGGAGACCACCTTGCTGTCACCGAACCCGGAACACCCGCCGAGCCACGTGGCTGCCGTAACGCTGCAGGTTTGCTGAGTGTCGCATGGTATCACGTCATTCTCGATGATGATTGGTTTGTGCTCTCGTTGCTCCAGTAGGAAGATGCACTTTTGTTCCTCCCACACTCACTCGACTAAGTGTGTGTTTCACGTGCTCTGGCCCCTGGAAGATGCGGTGGGGTATTAGCATTGAACGAGCACATGGCACATCTGGCCGCAAAGCACAGCGTGCTGCTGCCGTCGTGTATTTTCTTTTGGTTGTGCGTGCCACGGGAAGCAGGCGACTGTCGTCGCCCCGTAGGTTACTTCTTTCTCCGAGTACGACGCGATCCAGCGTTGATTTCCGCGTCTCGCGGGCGCGGTGGTGCACCCGCAGCCTCTCCGCCCGCCAACGCCCCAGCTCTCACCACCATCCACAGCAACCACGAAACCCCTCGGTACGTTTTGATTGAGCCTTTAGAGAACGAAATCAAACCAGTAGACTAGTCAGCGCACGATGAGCCTTTTGAAGCCGAAACCAAGCCATTGGACCATGAGTATAATCAGCGGGCTGACTAGTCTTACGGTTTGATATCAGAAGTCTGAAGAAATTAGTCGTGGGATCCGGATGACCCGACACTCTCACTCCTAGGGGGGTGACTCCCACTATATTTCTACTGCTGTCGACGGATGAGGCAAACGAAACCCGTGACGCACCGCCACCACCGCGGGTGTGACTGGCAGGCTCTGAGACGTACCGACGTGCCGTACACGAACTTCGGCTGCGAGATCGCGATCCGGTTCTCCAGCACGTCCAACCCGGCCTCGGGCTTCACGCCAGGGGGCATGCGCACCTACATCGATGATCCAAGGTTCGAAGTTTTGGTGGTTTAGCACCGAACTGAACTAAATACACTACGTAGCAAACGGGCGACTACCAAAAGAGAGTATAACGGCGGGAAAATGGGGGTGATAGATTGCGTGAATATAATCTTGTTGGGGGTTGTTTTCCAGATTTGACAAACGCAGTTTGTTCTGTTCTGGTATCGCGTGGCTCGCGAGAGAGCCGTACCGTGACTCAAAAAGTAAAACACTTGCTCCACCTATCAGAAAGAAGTGCAAGAGTACAACAAGATACCATCGTTCTCTTCCCTTCACCCTATCCCTCACCTCTGTTTTGCTTTTCTTCCCCTTCATCGGCCCCCCTCGCTCCTAGTCGTCTTGGTCGTTTGCACACGCAATTCCCACCCCCCACCCCACCCCTTGCCACCGACGAAACCCCCCGAACAGCATGCCCTTCTATCGAGTCTTGAGCGATTGGGACGAGATGGCGCCGGTGGGGGGTGCCGAGATAGACGTCGCGGACCCGGCCAGGGCTAACCAGCAGGTGGGCGAAACCACCTTCCTCTCTTGCGTGGAATGCGCTCAAAACTCTGTCACTCGGTGCCCGGCCCGCCGCCTACTCGCGGATCCTCTGGGTTCCATTAGATACGACAGGCGTTCGTTTCAGACCGTGAGTCGGGTGGGTGATGTTAATGTTGCCGTTCTTCGTGGCTGCTCCTTCTCCTTCGGACTCGTTGACCATTCTTGTCTACACCTCCTCCGATTGTGCGGGGGCCCCATTTTCCTGGTGTAACGGCATCGGTAGGTTCGCGTGAGAAAAGAAGGAGATCCGGCCTGGAGCACGGTGTCCATGGACTTCGTTAAGGAAGACGGGTGCTGGCTTATCGAGCGTCTGTGGGTGAGTCGCCGCCGCTCTCTCGGAGTCATTCTTGCCTCGACGCCACGCTGCTGGTTGAACGCAAATGGGAGGAGTGTAGCGTGACTTTGGATGTCAGCGGTCTACGTCCCAAGGTAGTAAGAATTGGCACGGTAGCCGAGGGGGTGGACGAACATGTGTACCGTTGACGCGCTAGTTCTTGAATCACCGACGGACTGCCCCCGTCCCCGTCGGTGCTTGTTGTTTTTGCTGGTCCGAGATGGTGGTTCTGAACTAATCAGCGACCGGCGTTGACTCGCGTACAGTCTCACAATCGGACGCTCGTCGTGAAATATGAAACACTGTTTGGCCCTTCCACTGGCTTGGCGGCGCTTTCAACTTTTCGGTCCTGTTTTGGACCACATGCAAGTCACAATCGGCATGCGGCCAGCGATATGATACAAGCACCGACATAGGCCCTGGTTCCAAACCGGCAGTGCCGCCGCTTGCTCCTTTTCTCAAACGACGACCGCCCCCCCCCCCACCCCCCTTCCCTGTCCTCTCGAGGACGCGTGATCAATGATCTAACAGCTAAGGCATGCAAAACATGACTACGCCCACTCCTACCTGACCATGCGTTGCGCGCGTGGGCTTCAACAAAGATTGACGACAAGAGCGTTGCGGGCGGGCGGTCGGGTGGGGGAGGAGAAGTGTCGCCGCCGCCTCCGGCCCCTCTTTCGGTGGCGGAGCTGTTTGACGAGGACCGCCTGGAGATGATGTCGTGCAAGTACGCCGACTATGATCCGGCCTGCCTAGCGGCAGAGGGAGGGGGGGAGTGGCTGGAGGAGCGGCCGAACCCTTCTTTGTCTCCGAAGGCGGTGAGAGAGGACGGAGAGAGGCGTCAGTCAATTCCCTCGCCCCCCTTGCGCTCGTTATTGTTTTGGGTGGTGGGGGCGGGTAGGGCGAGTGTAGGTGGTGCTGCACTCATTTGTCTTTCTGCTGATTTGAACAGGGTGGTTCTTGTGGCTGCTGCTGTGTGGTAGATTGCACGGTGCGCTGCCGGGGGATCCAGGCGAGAGGGAGGCGGTGTTGTTCGTTCGTGTGCGTTGAGAGCTGAGGACACGCGTGACTTGTCGCCGCCCGCGCCTCGAGACGCCATCGCAAAGCGACGCGAGACAATCTCAAGAAGCAGTAAATAGTGCAGCCGGTCCGCTTTTCGACCTCTCTCTCGCCGACGTGATGTTAAATAGTACTTGAGACGACTTTCGGATTTTAAACCCCGTGCTGGCTGGGATCCCTCGTGCATCCAGGTGGCCCTGACGTGCATCCTTTCGCTGCGCCAAAATGACGACGGAAGCGGCAGTGACGCCGCCACCGACGACAGCGGTGGGGATGGAGAGGCGGCCGCGGCCGGCGGAGATGCCGGGGCGACGACAGGGGCGGGGGCGAAGGCGACAAAACCGCGATTGAATGAGGGCTGCGAACGCGTGATTAGGTTCTGCTCGCCCACCAACGTCGCCAGCACGCTCACGCCGGCGCACTTTGCTCAGGTAGACCGAGTGGCAATCGCACCGCACCAGCAGCGATCACATGCGGTACGGTGGGGGTCCGGTCCCTCAATGGTGCCGGTTGAACAGGGCGGTTGAACAGGGCCACTGCCCTTTGAATAGTACCGGTGAAACTGGCGGGTGCCCGAGGCACTATTGAGGGACCTTCGTCGTGCCTAGGAAAGTACTGGTAGGGTAGGGTTTGGGCAAAGGCTCGGATGCCAACTGATCGGCGCGTTGAACGGTCTTAAGAACGGTCTTTAAGGCTAGGCAAGGCGACCGAAACGAAGGGAATACTGCTGTATCCCCCCGTCGGTGGCGTTTCGTTTTGCCACCCTTGAACATTTTGTCGTTTTCCTTCCGTCTTAAGTGCACCCATCTAAAATGAGTTTGTGTACCCATCCCAACAAAAACTTACTGAAAACCAGTATCTCAAGGAGCCGTGGTACGCCATCTTCAACCAGTGGGACGAGCTGTCGTTTCACAGTGAGGACATTTCGGAAGACGAGAGCACTGCGGATCTCGTGGTGAGTTATCGTGTGTGTGTCGGGGGGGGGGGGGGGGGGAGGGCAAGCGCTGACCGTTGTGTCCCCTCGGTCCGGGGCACGGAGCAAGCAAGCAGGAAGGGCTTGGCCTCGCGTCGTCTGAGGCAATGAGATTTACTGGTCGCTCCACTCGTACGAAAAACATGTACATGTGAATGTGAAGACAAACAACAACAACGAAACAACAACAACAACAACAACCACAACAATACGGCAGATTCTCAACCGAGATACTATCCCTAACCAATACCCCAAAGGCCGTTCTTGGCGCGTCGAGCGTAAAGAGCACTCAAACGTTGGAGGCGCTTCACAGTTTCTCAAACGGGGCTGGGAACTACGCTCGGAAAAGTTCTAGGAAAGGGGCCCCCTAATAACTGAGATAAGACTGTTGTACGGATTTGCCTCATTTTGTTGTTGGTTCGTTGAGTTTGGCTGGGCTGTTGGAGTCAAACGCGTGAGGTGTGTGACCCGTTCGAGCTTGGGAAGCGTCACAGCTGGCAGTCAGCTGTTGGCTGGTCCTGCTGCCTTATTGTATTTTCATCTTGCATCACCCCTTGGTGACACTGCTGTTCTTTCACTAGCCCCACTACGGAGGGATCACTGGTACAAAAAAAAAAAGAGACATACCGCAAGGCATCCGATCCACACTCCCCCCCACTCTTGTTTATATCATCTATCGTCCCCCCAAGGTTCTATTGCGCCCCGATAACGAAGAAGCGTGGACTTCGGTGAACTGGGAGTTGGTCAAGTGCGACGGCATGTGGCTCACAGAGAGAATATGGGTGGTAGATGTCTGAGCTCGCCAGCAGCTGATGTTGCCGTTGACGGCGATGATGGCGACGGCGATCGATTGGTTTCCCCTCCGAAGCGCATGCTTCACTAAAGGCAATGTTGTGTAGTGTTGTGGGGGTTGTTGTGTTTTCTTTCTGAGCGCGGTTTTTACATGCCACAGTCTTTAGTTCGGTGCGTGTGGGCCCGTTTCGGTTACGTTTGCCGTTTCTGTTGCGTTGTGGTGGAAAAGTATGAATGTCTGGGCGTCGTGGGGAAGAATGTTTGTGAAGGTTGTGAAGTGCGCGTGCTCTCCAGAGTGCGAGCAAACGCATCGTTTTTTATACGATGTTTTCAGGTTTCGTGGATCACAGTAGCTATAGTAGTGTTGAATGGGGGGTGCATGTGAGACCGAAGCAAGCGTTCGGAGATGACGATCTCGTCATACAGCGCACCTCTGCTTCATAGGTGAGCAGAATACAATTACAGTTTTTTACAGTTTTTGATGCAGCCCCGCTGTTGATTTGTCTGAGGTTGGATTGGGTCTATACTGATGCGTATGGTTCTGGTGCCAACAACCAGCGACGAAATTGCGGGGGGGGGGGTCTCTCTTGAATGATGTAAATAAACAGGTCCGCCAACCTTTAGAAGGATGGCTTGTGTATCGTACAGTATAATACTGCTTGTGGCGGTTGTTTTCCTTGTCTATGTCCAGTACAACAACAGCTTTTTGCGGGCCTTGTTGGGCTACCTTCATGGCAACAGCAGGAGAGTCTCTCTCCTGTTGTTGATGTACGCCAGTAGATTTTTTTACGATGTGGGTGCCACAGGGCGGCCTCTTTGATTGGGTCCATCTCAGGCAGGCGTCGTCCAGACGTTTCGTTTTTGTCTATTTCCACTAGGACGTATAAGAGCCTGAGTTGCCCTTCTTTTTGGATATGCGAATGTCGAAACACGTCTGTCTTCTCTTGTGTGTCAATCGTACGACATCCTTCTTTTCGGCCGTGCGTATCCCCTTGCTTGGCAGCAGGCAAGATGTTTTCAGCGGCCGCTGATCTGAAAGTCTTGCTGGGGTCGTGCGGAGATTCGTTCAGAGATGACTACTGCTGTAGCAACCTTGGCGACAAGGCTTTTGGTTCTTTCTGAGATTGTTCTGAGATTGATTTATACGTGTGTCGAGATACGGGCTGCCTCGTCCTACTGTCTGTACAGCGTGCGGAAACTGCAGCTGCCACAGGGGTTGTTGTTTTCCACGTTTCGTGTATTAATTTTCTTCTTTCCTGCGCATATACGAGAAGATTGGGGGGATGGAAGGGGGCGGCAATGGACATGGGGGCAGACAAAGTCGATTCATCACGTGAAGAATGATCGGGTTCTAATCAATCTTAAGAGTGTTTCCCCGGCGGGGGGTATCTACATTTAGGTTGCAATCAACCCTCATCCTCACACAGGCGCTCTTGGTAACAGGAAAAACCCAAAAAAACAAGGCATGGGGAAATTACACAAAAACGTTAGAAGAGTGCGAACCCAGGGCGAACTTTACACGGCGGGGAAAACTCCCCTTGTCTGCGCTTTAGCAACGCGCATCTGAAAACAATAAAATAACTGTACAAGAGCAGACGCCCCAAGACGCGTAAAATTAAGTAAAAAGTTCAAGCGCCCAACTATTTCCCCGGCTGCTCTAGGAGCCATTGGGTGCAAACAACCTACACTCAATAAATCGGCGCTACACCAAGACGGGCGTAACGGAGTTCCGGGTGAAATCCTTATCCCTCGTGCCGTGGCTTGATTCTCGCCTTGTATTGAAGTGCGTACCGTTTCTCCTCACGGGATCGGAAGAGCAAGGACCACGACCTCAAATCGGTGCAACCACCCAAATGTATCGCGAAACAGTTGGTACATATATCCTGCCGAGCGAAACAAAACATGACGAAAAAGGCAAACATTTCAAAATGCGATCATTCTCAAGGATACATCTTTCACCCCTTCGCCTGCTGCAGCAGCACCGTCGGCTGCCGCGGTAAGCGCTACCTGATGCTGCCGCTCCCGTGCGCTCGCCGAGCGCAATAAATAACGGGCGCAAGAACGAACTCCAACACCTGCGGCCATGAAAAAATAAAAAAATCAGACCAAGCGGCCCTCATCTCTCAGAGCGCGAAGGTTGCAAGATATTCCGGGTAGCACGCTTCGCGGCGCACCGTATACACTGCCGCGGTACCTCCCCCGCCGCCGCCTACCCGCCGGGGCCCCCCTTCCTCACCCCCTCCACCGCCGCTCACCGCCTCCCAGTCGGTGATGGAGTGCACCGCGGGAGACGACAAACCTGGCGCGGGCTCAAGCGTCCGGTTACCGCTGCCGCCGGCATCAGCGACGGAGGGCGGCGGCGACGAGAGGCCGATGCCTGCAACCCGGGTGAGGTCATCTACCTTGGCCATGCAATCAATGTCCAAGAAGGGGTCCATCTTGTCGCGGTCTACCGCCGCCGCCGCCACCGACTGCAACCACCCGTTGCCGCTTGCCGAACCCCCTGCTTCGCCCCCGCTCTCTGACCCGGAACAGGTTCCTTCCCGCCGCCACCCCGGGTGCTCTTCGGGATCGCCGCTGACGATCGCCCGGACTACGGCGAGGGTGCGCAAGGTCATACTCTTGCCGCCGCCCCGCCCGCCCTCGTCGCGCCGCTCGATCTGCGGCTGCGCAAGCGCGACGGCCGCGAACCGCGCGCTAGCCGCCAACCGGCAGAGGTCCCTCCCCGCCTTCGATACCGGCCCGCCGGCCCCCCTCACCCGCGCGTCATCGTTGTCGCGGAGGTCTTCCTCGGCCGCCGGAGTTGTCGTCGCCGCCGTGCCCCCGACAGTCCAGCAGCCCGGTCCGCCCCTAGTGGCGGAAGCGGGGTCAGAGCCCGACGTCGAGATCGCGGTGAGCGCGTCGCCCGCCACCACGTCGCGCGGGTCGGCGAAGAGTCTGGCAACAGACACCCTCCCCACACTGCCACCTCCGCCGCCGCCGCCGCCGCCGCCAGTGTTCGGGAAACCCGGCGTGGTTGTACCGGTGCCGGTACCGGCCACGGCGGCCGCTGCGGCGGACGAGATGGCAGCGTCCCGGTCGCACACGAAGCGCAGCATCCTCGCACGATCCTGAAGCCTAACGAGCCGGACGAGTCGGGCCCCGGGCAGGGAGCTCCGCAGCAAGGCCTCGACTCTTGACCCCTCTCCTCCCTCGGAGCACGCTCCGCCTGGTACCGCCGCCGCCAAAAGCGGGACCTCCACCGCGTACGTCGAGTCGAACCAGTGCCTGTCGAGCGCCGAGGCGTAATCACCCTTGAGCCCCCCCGCGGCGAGGGCCACCGCTACCCAGTGCGGCTGGCCGCCGGGAGCGGTGCTCGAGAAACTGCGGGTTCGCACCGGGAACGGTGACCACTGCAGCGGGTAGGCGGGGTTGGGACCCCGCAGCGGAAGCGCTCGGAAGTAGTCCGACGACAGCGCCTGCTTGGTCGGGACCACGAGAGCAGCGGCGGCGGCGGCGGCGGGACGGTATACACAGCGAGGGGAGGCAACCGGGCGCATGGTGGGAGCGAGGAGTAGGATTGGGCGGCGGTTGTTTTTTGGAACAAAGTGTCGATCGTGCTTTCTTCGATATCGCAGAGCCAGCCAAGCCGGTCCATGGCGCAAAATCGATGCAGAACAGCTGATCTCCAAGTCACTTCCGTGTTCAGATTGTGCGTATATTACTGACGGACGTACACAACGTGCTTCGAACAAAGGATGGCAACAGAGACAACGTGCCCCCAAAATATATTCTGGGCTGTGCTCACGCCACGCACCTCCAATACCGTGCACCGGCGCGACGGGTCTTCTTCGAGCATGCTGTCCAGCAGCTGCGCCAGCGCCTTCCGACACGGTTCGAACGCCGGCCCGAGCCCGACCGGCAGCAGCAACTCTTGCTGCTTCCCGCCGGCGGCCCTGCCACCCCCGCCGCCGCCGCCCCCCTTCCCGCCCCCGCCCCCGCTAGAAGTGGCGTAGAAGCTCTCCGCGTGCTTGGCCCCGCAGCAAGCGGCTCGCAGCGCGCACCCGAAGGCGTAGACATCCGCGGGCTGGCCGAATTCCTGCCCGCGCACGACTTCGGGGGCAATACATCCAGCCGACGGCCGAGCAAGCGCGGCGGGGAAGGGAGGTCCGAGCTTGGCCCGTCGGAAACCGTGCTGACCTCTCGGATGCCACGACGATGACGCCGAGCCATCAGAGTTGGGAGCCACCGATCCTCCGCCGCCGCGGCCGCCCCCGGCCAGCGGGAGCCGCCCTCCCGTTCGGGACTCAGGGCTTGATCTCGCCGCTACAAGGATGTTGTCGAGGCAGACCGCGCGGTGCACCGACGTTTCGGAGGTGGCGTGAACGGCGGCCAGGCCGGCAAGGGCCTGCACCATCACCGCCCACACCTCCACCTGGGAGCGTTCACTGCTAGCAGAGTCCACCGCCACCGCCGCTGCTTCCGGGACTGGCGCGTCCTCCGCGTCGTCTACGGCCGCCGCCGTCGCCGCCGCCGCCATCGCGACGGCGGCGGGTTCCGCTTCCGTACCAGGATGATCGACAGGTTTCCCGTCTACCTTCCCGGCTGTCGCCGACGCGGCGAGCCAAGCCTTCGCGGTTAGCGCCCCTTCCACGTTAACCTCGAGCAGGGCCTTCCCCTCCTGCAAGGACACGCCCGAGATGGCCGCGACTTCCGGCGGGAGCCGTCGCGCGGGAGGGATGAAGCGTAAAATGTCAGCCACGAGATCTCGCTCCGCCTGGCGATCGCGGCAGTCCACCTTGGTGTTGGTGAGGGGGGAAAACCAGGGCCGCAACGGACGGTGGCGTGTTGGGGGGGAAGGGGGGGGCGTACTCTTATGTTTTGCATGCCTTAGCGGTTAGACCATTGACCACGCGTCCTCGAGAGGACGGAGCATTGTTCCCACAGGACCGATCACCGATGGCCAATCGTTCCTTCCTACTTTGCCAAAGGTGGCTAAAAAATGCCTTCCCTAGTCTATCTATCCTAACGATATCCCTTCCCGCCTTTTCAAACCACTTCCTACTCCCCAGTACAGCTACTGTCCTCTCCTCTCTATTCCATACCTCAAACATCTCTCTGTACCTCCCTTGTATTTTTCCCAGCTCAGTCATGTACACTTCCCTCTCCTGTTCGTACAACTGACATTCCGCGACTACATGAACACGGTCTTCGCATTCGAAGCCGCAATCACATTTGAACTTGTCGTCTTCGTCGTCTACCGTCCTAAATTTATGTCTTCGTCGACGTTCTCGAAGGCCTATGTCCCCGGTCCTGAATTTGACCTTAAGCTTTGTCCCTGCATCCATTGGTCCATGTAGGTAATAATCCTTGAACCCTATTCCTTCTTTCAACTGTTTTTCTCTCTCGGCACAAGCAACAGATACCTTCTCCTTGAACCCCTGTAGACCCTCCGTTTCCAGTGTTTCATCTTCGTCGATGTCGAACCCCTTCCATACGTCCTCTACAACCTTGACGCATTCCGTGGGTTGTCTACCCCTCTTTTTGTTTGCCCTCTTCGCCTCCCATACTATTCTCGGCAACCTCTCCTCTCCCATCCCGCACATGCGATACTGCCATGTCAGTTTCCTTGCGTCTCTTCCCGACCGTAGGGATTGGATCCGGCTGCATTACTTGTGCGCTTGGAGCATCCTAGGATGATTGTCGCTGCTTTCATCTGCGCCGCCTCGAATTCTTTCACTACCTTCTTATTTCCTTCCCATATTTCTCCGGCGTACTCTAGCGGCGGTACAATTACTCTTTTCAAAACCACCAATTTGATGCGTGTATCGCGGTGCCGGTTTGCGAGTATTGGGTGCAGCTTCCCTGCTCGTGCTTTGCCCTTTTCCGCTACCTTGGACACGTGTGCATTCCACGAGCAGTCTTTTGCGACCTCTACTCCGAGGTGTGTGTACTGGTCCACTTCTGCAATCTCCTCGATCCCCCACTTCCATCTATATTCTACTGGTTCCTCCCTGTCGTAGTTGCATACCATGACGGCACTCTTCTTAACGTTGGCAGACAATATCCACTTATCAGCAAACTTCTTCGCCGCGTCAATTTGCAGTTGCAGTCCCTCAGGGGTGTCCGACATACCAACAAAATCATCCGCAAACAGCATTCCGACAACGAATTTTCCGTGTCCCCTACTTTTACTCCCTTGCGAACTGCCTCCACGACTTCCAACAGATCGTTGATGGACACCTGGAACAATGATGGGGACAACGTGCAACCATGTGGGACCCCCTGTTCAATGTCGAAGAATTTAGACAGTTCTCCGTCTAGAATGACCGCGCTTTTCGTACACTCTGTCATCTTCTTCAGCACTCTCCATATTTCCCCCTTGGTCCTGTACCTGGACAATTGTTTCCACAGCCCATTTCTCCATACTGTTGTATCGTATGCCTTTTTCACGTCCAGGAAGAAGCAGTACGTCGGTTTTCCCGCCCTCTTTCTACCTTGGATGATTCTCCCTACCGTGAATTCGTGGTCTACGCACCCCCTCTTCTGTCGGAAACCTGCCTGGCCCTCACTAATGCTAGGTTCCTTCTCCAATACTCCCACTATCCTATCGTTCAGCAGCTTACAAAACACTTTTCCTAATGTGTTCAACAGTGTGATCCCCCTGTAGTTTCCTGGGTCAGTCTTGTCTCCTTTCTTAACTAAATTCACAACCACTCCTTCCCTCCATTTACTTGGCGCATACTCGTTTTTCGACACCCAATTGTACAGCAGTACCATCAGCTGGATCATCCCCTTCCCCCCAAACTTCATGAACTCGTTGACTATCTCATCCGCCCCTGCTGCTTTGTGGCACTGCAGCTTGTTCACACACGCCTCAACCTCGTCCGCAGTGAAAACCTTTTCCTAGTTCTACGTTCCCAACGTCTGTCTTCGATGTTTCGCGGGGAAGGGGGGGCGGGGTATTCAATGGCGTCGAACTGCACCCGGGGTCCGGTAAGTGTTCGAAACGGCTGGACGTGTGCGAGGCTTGTGCAGAACCGTGTGCCATGCCGTAGAGCAAGGCAGCCACAAAACTACAACGTGGCCGTGCCGTCACACGAGAGTACGAGGCGGTACTTCGGCCCAGCAAAAGAGAATCGCGTCGCTCAACACATGCACGTGGGCTGGGTCGGTTGCGTCCTCAACAGTCGCACCCGAATACACAATTCGGCCAATTAAGCCTTCGCTGATGCTTGCGCGATAAAACTCTTCCACGACACACACACTCAACAGGAACCCATGAAACAACCGGAATACACATACAGCCTTTGTTGATTCTTGCACAATGCAATTTCTTCCACGACATACACACGCTAAACAGGGACCCACAAACAATTCCAAAAACCAAGCCACACACACGCAAACACACTTGCCTCCACGATTGCGACAGCCGAACCATCAATCTCCGCCAGCCGGCAGCCCACCCCTCCCAGGCCCGCCAGCACCCTCTCGCCAACTTCGCTGTTAGCACGTCCCGACCCGGCGCCGCCGGCGCTCGACGCCACCGAAGCCAGGTGATGGTCTTCCCATTCGTCGACGTCGCGCAACTCCACACCGCTGAGCAGCAGCGACCGGAACGCTCTCTCCGCGGGGTCTGGGTGCTCCAGCAGCAGCTCGGGAAACCGCCGGTACGTCCCCGAGCGGCGAAGAGCTGAAAGAGAGAGAGGGAGAGAGAGGGAGACAGACAAAGGGACAGACAGGCAGAGAGAGGGAAAAAGAGGTAGAGAGAGAGATAGAGAGAGAGAGAAAGAAAGAGAGGAAGAGAGAGGGAAAGAGAGGTAGATAGATAGATAGAGAGAGAGAGAGAGAGAGAGAGAGAGAGTTACGTGTGATGGCGACGGTTTGCTTGCATGCACACATACGCGGGAAGTTTGCAGCAAAAACAGAGGGAGGCCGAGCGGGACGACGCGTGAACACTTTAAGAGGTGCCCGTCCGCACCCGTGCACGCCTACCGTATATGACACAAGATAACACACCCCCTTGGCCGATTTTCAAAGCTCGATTTCTCAACAGCAGGAAGAGTCACAGCGCCGAAAACGGCGGCGTTGGAACCGTCTCGTCGAGAGCTGTTCGAAAACGTATTGTTTCATTTATGCATCCTCTTCGTCGTGGAGTAATCGAGCTTTGAAAATCGGTCCAGGGGGTGTGTTATCTTGTGTCATATACGGTACACGGGTGCAAACCCACGGCGCCGGAACCGGTTGAGAGCGGGAAACACGTCCGGCACAACAAAAAAAACACCGAGGGACTGAATCATAGAAAACCCACTGGTACGCGGCGGCTGAGGCGAAGGGAAACAAAAAATTCCGAGGCCGACCCTGTCCATCCACAAAAAAAAACATTTCAGTCCTATCCACCGGCTCTCGCGGGCACGGCGCTTGCGGGGCACCTTTGAGCTCCGCGAGCTTGGCGCTACGAAGGGCGGCTAGGCGCGCGCGCGCGTGCAGCCGCTCGTCGTCGATGGACCGGATCTCCTCCGCGTCTGCCGCTTGTCTCCGTCGGCGCCCAAGCTTGGACTCGAGCTCCTTCAGGAGGTCCTCTTCGTCCACCACCTGCTCGGCGTTATGTTGCGTTTCGTTCTCGTTGCGTTTCGTTTTCGTTGCGTGCGCGGAGGGTAGACGTAAGTGTCGTGTGGATGAACGTGAGTTATTGAGCAGGATCATAAAGTCTGTGCCTACGCCGGCGCCGGAGTATTGCCTCCCTGACCAAACCGTTGTCACCGTCCACGTTGGCGCCGTCTACTGCTGTGCGTTGGCGGAACGACAAGAAGCCGGAGTAGTCACACATGTGGGACCGGTTCAAGCTATAACCTTTCACTTACGTAGCATTTCTTACACGAGACCACCACTCTGCATGACACAAAAAAATTCGACTCCTCCGAGCTCGGGGCAAGTGTTTGAGAACTCGTAAACACTCTTCAACATCTCGAGAGAAGCAAAAACCCAAGTCAATTGACCTGAGCGAAAGCGGTAGCAGCAGCAGCAGCAGCAGCGGCGACAAACACTCGCCTGTTGTCGGACCGACACAAGGCGGCTGCGGGCCTCGCGCGCCACCTCCTCTGCCGAGCCAGCCCCTCCCAAGAGCGCCTCGGCGTCCGGGAGTAGTCGGCGGAGTTCCAAGTGGGCTCTCGTGACCCGCTGTGCGCGCAACAGAGATGTCGACGGGCGGGGGAGCGTAAAGGCAAGTCAAACACTCATAGGGCCAAACTGCTCATAACCCAATGGGGTAGACCTGTAGCTTGCATGCTCTTCTGCTCATCGTGCTGGCAGCCAAGGACCTTCCGAGCCCCACTACCAAGGGCAAGATACGGGGAAGGGGATAACTTTACGGATGAAACAGCACCGGTGTCCGTGCCGTCATGTCCGTTTTTGATCCCCCGCACGATAGGAGGAACCCGCAAGGGGGGACGGGTCGACAAAAAAATAAAACCTGCCTGATATGCGTCGTCCAGAGCCCACAGCAGCGGCCCCGCGACGGCCGTTATCACCATACCAAGCGCTCGCGCGGTTAGGCTCTCGGTGGCGTCCACCTCCGCCTCAGACGCCGTCGCCGCTCCCCGCAGGCCGTCCTTGTACACGCTCGCCAGCGACGGCGGGCCTCGGGGACCACCACCGCCGCCGCCGCCGCCGCTACTGTAGTCGTCGCCTTCGCCGTCAGCGTCGCCGCCGCCAGAAAGACGGCTCACCAGCCCCGCCACCTTCGCGTCCAGCGAACTCGCGTCGGTCGCGCTCAGCTCTACGGCGGGGCCCGCCGCGCCCCCCCGCCCATCCCCATCCTCGTCGTCGGAGTCAGGGGCTTCTCCGGGGATGGACGTCTCGAGGTCCATCAGGTCGATGAGGGTGACCTTCACGTGCTCCCGCAGCGTCTCGAGGGCCATACCCAGCCGGTCCCCCGTCTTCGCCGCCGACCTCGCCTCCCGGAGGGCGCTGACGCACGGGTCCAGCGCCGCGAGCGCACGCAGGAACCCGACGGCGGGCTGCTGTGCCCGGGGGCGGTGGCGTCCGCCGCCGCCGCCGCTGCCGTCCGCGCTTCCCCCGCGCCTCGAACCGTCGCCTTCGGCAAACGACGCGCCCGCGGCGCCGACGGTGCTACGAGAGGGTGCGATGGCCTCTGCCCCGGTCCCGGTCCACGAGGCGTGCCGCCTCGATCGACTGCCGGAGTCGTTCCCGGCCCTGTCGTCCGCCTCTGCCGCAAGGTAACCCGGGTCGGCGATGACGACGTCCACCTCGCACGCAGCCCGCCCCCCGGGCCGGTCCAGCCTCCCTGCGTCCCAGCCGCCTAGTCCTTCGCCGTCAGCCGCGTCGCAGGAAGCTCCGGGCACCAAGGCGAGCGTCGGGTCCGCGCCCCGCAAGAAATGCTCCACCGCCGCGCGCTCGGCGGAAATTCGTCCCCTCCAGTCTTCGAGGTCTCGCAGCGCGAGCTTGCCTCCCTTTGTCGCCTCTGCCGCAGCCTTCGTCCGACCCTTGACCGCTCGAGCGGCCCGGCTCTCGCGCTCCGGGGACAGGTCCAAGAGCAGCGAATTGCCCCCGTTGTTGCCGTCGGCGGCGGTTGGTTGCCTGGGGGGATCGGACAGGATGTCAGACCGGAACTTGTCCAGGCGCCGGAGGCGGGTGCGGTGGTTCCGGGCGTCGAGGTCCCAACGCTGGACCTGGTGTGAGTAAAGGGGGGGGGGGGGGAGGAGGAGGAAGCAGAGTTGAAGGCCGGCATAGGGAAGAGACATCGTAGGAAACACAACTCAGGATATTCCAAGTATTTCTCCAACTTGTAGATGGAATATTCGACTGTAGACGTGTGCGTCATACAGCTGATGGTCGTTTTATAGAGTTTTGTGTTGACAAATAACAACTTAGGTTTCTTTGTTCTATCTAAAGCGGTCGATTTTGTAACCGTGCAGGTCTCTCGCTGAGTACCCACAACGAGCATCGGCACCTTGAGCGCGAAGTCCACGAAGCGGTGGACGGACGCCGTAGCTCCGTCCGCCACCGCCTCCACAGCCACGCGCTTGGCGCTCGCATCGGCCAGCCTCCGGACGTGCCCGAACCGCTCCCGGTGCTCCCGAATCATCCAACGCACGTCCTCCACGCGCTCGCTCGAGGCCGTGTCGGTCGTCGCCGCTGCGGTTGCGGCGCCGCCGTTCGGCGGCCGAAGGAACCCGGCGCCCGGGCAAAGCCCGCACGAGTTGACGACGCTAGTGTTGGCGCCGGCCGACAGGAGAAGCGCCACCGAGTCGAGGTCCGCCGCAGCGGCTGCCAGGTGAAGCGCTGCGAAAAAAAAAAATCGGGCAGTTGTTATTCACAAGGCCGATGCAAGAGCCCGGATGCACCGCGTAACAACAGATCACCGTGTGTGTGTGTGTGTGTGTGTATGTGTGTGCGTCTTCATCAGCAGCAAGGCAGGGGGGATTCCTGCGGTAAAACTAACCAAAAGAGCATTAACACGGCCGCCCGAGGGGATCCTAACCTGTGGACCCGAGCCGGTTGCACGCGTCCACGTCCGCCCCGGACTCCAAGATCAGCTTCACTACACGCCCGGCGGTTCCTCCGCCGCCGCAGGGCGGCGTGCCGGACCCCGCGGCCGCGTGCAGCACCGTGTCGCCCTCGTCGGTCGCCGCCGCCACGGAGGCCTTCCCCTCCCGAACAAGCGCCTGCGCCGCGCCCCAGTGGCCCCCGCGGGCGGCGAGGTGGAGCGGCGTGGCGCAGCGCGAGTCGGTGGGGTCGACGGCGACGCCGTGCGCGAGGAGCCGGAGAACGACCTCGGTGTGGCCGGCCGAAGCCGCTCGGTGAAGAGGGGTGCGGCCGGCCCACGACTTGTCCTCCGCGTGCC